GGGGGGGGGGGGGGGGGGGGGGGGGGGGAGGCCCGACGGTGCCACCTGCAGGTCACAAACAGAAGCGCGCAACCACGAGTCTTTCTTTCCGGACGCCGGCGAGGGGTCATCGGCGCGAGCAGAGGTTCAAAGCGGCGGAGGCGGACCGCGACTCACCTCGGTGGTGGGCGTTGACTCTCCCGGGTCGGGTCGCCGCCCGTCGGCCGCTCGTCGACGTCCGGAGTCGGGGCCCGGTGGGCGGCGGTGCGCCGGCGTCGCAAAGTTGCGCGGCGGGCAACAAGTGGGGCGGGCTCAGAACCGGCAAGCGCAAGTCGGCGAAGCCGCCGACATTTCCTCCGACCTCACGGCGGCCCTCGCCTCGCCGCGCCGCACCAACGGTGACGGCTCTCCGCTTTGCTATTCGTGGCGCGTCCCCGTCGAGCCGGGCGTCAAGGACGCGCTGCCGCCGCTTTCCTCGCTCCGTCTTGTCCGCCCCTCGTCCAAATCGGGCGCAAAGCTCTCCGTCTTGACTGCCTGGTAGGCCGCTGCGCCCGCCCTTCCAAATATGGGCACGCTGTCACGCCTGCCCCCCCCCCCCATTGAAATTGAAGATGGATCCGTTTCAATACAAAGTGCACGCGCGTCGCCAGCGGAACCAAATGCGATTCGTCCGTTCTCAGCCTCAAATCGTTCGACTTCCATTCGAGGAAAATGCAGTTGGGGAGGAAGAAATGGCACACCAAGCAAACGTCCTCTTTGGAAATCCAAATCAAACGTACGCCGGCGCGCGCATCATCTCCATCCGTCACAAGGATCGTTCCCGCTCTCCGTTGACATGTTCGGGCGCGAAGCCAAATGGATCGGAAAAGAAAAATCCATCCGCCGTCTTTTGGAGAACATTTATTGCGCGGACATCAAAAGTGAGGACAAATCAATCGATCGACAAGTCACGCGACCGAGATGACGACTCGACACGAGATCCCAGCGGAGCCGCTCCCGCCTGCCGGCGGAGGGAACGGAAGCCGATTCCTTGACGGTTGTGTCGATCCGCCCCCCCCCCCTCCCCCGCGGCCAGACGTACGTGTGAAAAGTGGCCCCGAGCGCTTCCCGAGCCGCCGGGTCGCTCTCAAATCAGCTCGGCGATCGGCATCGGCGCGGCCGAATCCCCCTTTGTCCGAACGGCGGCGGCGATGCGCGCCGGCTCGTCGGGCGTTTTGGGGACGCTCGACTTCTTGGCTATTTTTTCTGTTTGGAGGAGACGCAAAAGAGGAATTGGCCAGCGCAAAACGCCACGCCCAATTCGTTCCGGCCTTGAGCGCACACGCCCCCCCGCAAAGATTCGGGACGCTATATTCACACACACATAAATGACACACACGTCGACGTATATCACACGGACACGCGCGCAGGCAGGCAGAACCCCCCC